TCCTTTACCCAAGGATACTTTGTAGCAAGTTTGGTTGAAATTGGCCCATTGGTTCTTGAGAAGAAGATGAAAATGTGAAAAGTTTACAACAACGACGACAACGACAACGACGACAACCACAGACTACGGACAAATTTTGATCAGAAAAGCTCACTTGAGCCTTTGGCTCAGGTGAGCTAAAACGAAAAAAAATATTGTGTCCTGGGACGACTAAGACGAAACTTTAATTTTACTCATAACTTTTTATTTTACATTGATTTGAAAATTGTTTTAATCTTTTTATAAAGAATTTAAGATGTTTTTATACTAGCAATTTCAAACAGGTTGATTAATTTTACAAATTTTAAAATCAACTAAAATATTTGGTCATAGTCATAAGTTCTTTAGTAAAACGTACCCTGGAAGGTAAATGAAAAGTTTTTTTATTCAGTCGGTCTTGAGAGGAATATCAAACATTTTTTTTAAAGATGACCTAACTAAAACTGTTACTACTTTATGGTTACAATCACCACTCCCATATTCATTCTTCTGTATGTGTGTGTGTCATTAAAAGAATAGGCATTGATCAATAGGGTTATGTTACTATTTAAAAATTGGTGGCTGCTTCTTATCCAATAAATGATTGACTATACGCTTATGTTACAATTTACAGATTGGAATAGAATATTACATTTAGCTTACAACTGACTATACATTAATAGTACAATGTATATATATTTACACTGATGTTACTATTTATAGTTTGGCTAATCGTTCACTACATTTATGTTACTATTTATAGTTTGATGGCTGCACCCCCCCCCCCCCCCATAATTAGCTATACCCTGATGTTGCTATTTTTAGATTGGCTAATTGTTTACTACATTAAGGGACTCTGACCCTCAGCCAGGAAGGAGAACTCTTTAATTTATAATTTAATTCAAAAAATCTTTGAATGAAGCTTGAAAATTAAATCTTTTCATGCAACAATTTTCATTATATGCCTCTCAATGTGCTTCAAGGTTCTTTGCAAAGCTCCATAAATCACTTCTAATTTCATATCATGTTAATAAACATTGGTACCTAAAAATGCTTTTTCGGGATAAAAATTTCTACTTTTAATTAGACCTTTCTGAGAAGTTCAAAGAACCTTGAAGCACATTGAGAAGCATATAATGAAAATTGTTGCATGAAAAGATTTAATTTTCAAGCTTCATTTAAGGACTTTTTGAATTAAATTATAAATTAAAGAGTTGTCCTTTTTGGCTGAGGGTCGGAGTCCCTTAATGTTACTATTTATAGTTTGGCTAATCGTTGACAACATAAATATTACTATTTATAGATTGGCAGCTGCATCCCCTCATATGATTTACTATACACTGATATTACTATTTATAGATTGGCTGTTGCCTCCCCTCATATGATTTACTATACACTGATGTTACTATTTATAGATTGGCTAATCGTTGACTACATTAATGTAACTATTTATAGTTTGGCAGCTGCATCCCCTCCCTATATGATTTACTACGCAGACTGGCGAGACTGCTGGACCAATCTCAAAAAGACTGTGAGTATTATACTCCATATCTCATCTCAAAAAGACTGAGAATTGGAGGTCATATCTCATCTCAAGAAGACTGAGAATTGTAGGTTCATATCTCATCTCAAAAAGACTGTCAGAGAATTGTAGGTCATATCTGGTCTCAAAAAGACTTTTAGTATTGTAGGTCATATCCCATCTCAAAAAGACTGTGAGTATTGTAGGTCATATGTCATCTCAAAAAGACTGAGAATTGTAGGTCATATCTTGTCTAAAAAAACTGAGCATTGTAGTTTATAATATTGTCTCAAAAAGAATGAGACTGTTAGTAGTGTACAAAGTCATATACTTTACATTGCCATTACTATAATTTATTCATGTTGGAAAGTATGTGTCATAAAAGACACATTATTATTGTTATTCACCATTGTTGGTATTATTTAGAGAACGAGACGGATTCTGTATCGTAGGTACAAATTTGGGGGTGGACGAGTGCGTAAGCACGAGTCTCCACTCCCAAATTTGTATGTATGATAGAGAACCTGTCGAGTTCTCTAAATGATTTGTGACACGATCAATCAAAAATACTCCGCCCACTTTATAACTTTGCAGCATCCAAACTTCCGCCAGAGTGTCTGTAGATGAGGCCCCGACAGGGAGTATGCATCCGCAGTATATATATTTCCACGGAAAACGTAAAATTCGGTCAGATTAGTTTTGACAATTTAACGGGGTAGACGTAATCGAGTAAAGTCAGTCTTAATGGATAAAGTGGAGGATTTAACCGTCATTGTTGTGATCTATAGATGCAGATTGATTATAATATATTTCAGTGGTCTTAAAATCCCGGTTTAACTAGATTTACAAAAACAGGATTTACAGAAAATTCTTCGATGGACTTTGATATCACGGATTTTTATTTTCTAATTGAATTGCGACATTAAAACGAGGTGAAAGAGACGTGTGGCTGTCGAAAAAGGATTAAAACGCGATAAATGGACTTGAATGATTTTGCCCGAGGAGAGTGGATGTTTTCTGTTTTTGCAAATTTTCTTTTCGTTTGGATCGAAATTACAGATTATGTTATTCGAAATTTGCGAATTTGCGTAGATTCTGTGTGGAATAAGTTTTTTAAAAAGTGAATGAGAAATTTTGACATTTTACATTTTCAGGATTACTACTGGGTATTTCTCTAAAATTTACAATAGGAAAACGTCAGCATTTACACGTACTATTTGTACGTGCTTTTGCTAAATTGAATCAGATTTATTTTTAGGCCGTGCTGTATTGTAGGTACAGAATAGTTGGCTAATACAGAATGGAAAGTAGCTCCGCCCACCAAAGTCCTGTTCTGTATTGCTAATACAGAACAGTAAACTTCAAAGAAAAACACCGCTATCGTGTCACAATAAAAATAAAAGAATGATTTAAATGCCTTTCAAATGTTTTTAAGGGGTTAAAAGCATTGAAATATAATATTTGTTTATCTATGCAGGGTGAGTTGAATAGAGGATCTTCAATGTTCTGGAGAGCATGTCCAAGCCTGGATCGACATAATCAGATGTATAACCCGCCCATCGACTCATACAGGAAATATGCCAGCTTCTAAAAGCGAGGGATCAACAGACCAAATATACAAACAAACTTTTAAATGTGAACTACACACCAAATATACAAAATGACTGAGCTGGCCTAATAGAAAAGTTCAATAGTAAAAGTCTATATCTGATACTACTGTTAAGAAATAAAGGTATTATTGTACGGTAACTGCAACTCAGTATTAACAAAGGGGGAAAACTCAGCAACCCTCACCTAGTAGACTGTGATGATATAACCATATCAGAAATTGTGATGACTACATATTAAGAAATGTATAAATGTTCATGGATTTCATTTCTCAAACCGAGATTTCAGATGCCAAACGTTGAAGATGTTAAAGATCTGTTAATAATTTTAAACTGGTATTTTGGTGCAGAAGTTTTGAAATTTGCCAAGAACGGAATATTTTTTTTTTTGTGGTCAGTGATCATGACAGTTGCAATTTTTTCTTGTATTCATTGAAGGATCTGTGAAGTTATTTTTGTAAAATTGACACATCATTTCTTTTTCTTTTCTTTTTTTATATTTTTATCATTTGTCAACTGAACAAATAATTTTTCATCCTAAACTAGTTAAAAGATAGTTCATTTACAGACTTTTTTTGTAATTCAACCAATTCATGAAATACCTGATTTAATTTTTGGTAATGACAGATCTTCTTATCAGTTTAATTTTTTACTTAAAAGAGGTGCCCAGGGGTCAAATGAGACAGTTTTTGTTATATTTTGAAATGAAGAGAATGTGAAATGCATAATATTTTTTTGTAGAATACTGCTAGTTTTACATTAAGAATTACTGACCCTGCATGAAGTGTCCAAAATTTGTAAATCACTTACCAATTATTTTGTAAAATTTTCATCTTCAACCATATCTCAAAATTTGCTTAATTTTCTTGTTCATTGCCTCTCCTATTATAAAATAGTTGCAGGAAAAATATGTTTTACTTAGCTGAGAATTAATGTCTTTGAGGGTTAATACTTTTTTGTATATGTGCTTTCATGTTTCTTAAACACATAGTATACAATATGTTCCTTCACCTTTTTTTCTGTTTTTAGATAGTATACAATATTTACTTGCTATTTAGTTAAGTTAGATAGTATTTTATTTCCTATACAAGATACAACTGTATTTATAGATAGTTTATCTTTAAACCATGAACAGTATTGGAACATTTACTGTAGATCACTAAACTTTCGCGACACCTTATTTTCGCGAGATAGTCATTGACTCTTGATTAGTGAGACAAAAATTTCGCGAATTGTGGTTATTTCTCTATATAATCTTAAGGAATATTATTATACACGAGAATCAAATTTTCGCGAGCACACTGTCTCGCGTAATTACGCGAAAATAAAGTTCTCGCGAATAAAAAGTGATTTACAGTAATTAGCATCAAGTGATGATATATGAAAAATGAGGAAAATCATGCACTTATGAAAGATTTATACAAAATTTTATCCACAAAGTGAATGGGATAGGGCAGTAGGCAAAACATATTTCAGCCCTCTCCCTAAGAAATGAATGATACACTAGAAGTCATTAAATTTGAAATAATTTCCTTACTTTTGTAAAATCATCATTAGATCTTTCGTTGCTGATATACCATATAAGTAGAATTTTTAGCGAGGATTTAATTTTGGCATTATTAGCGAGAGTGTCGAGATCGCTTAAATTGAATCTCGCGAAAAATTAATTGCGTTTTATTTGTAATAGCTTCTTTAATATACATTTTTAGATCGCAAAAATAACATCTCGCTAAAAATAAAATACCAGGTTTTAAGGACAAATTGCTAAATTTGCGTCTTGCTAAAATTTCTACTTATACGGTAGTAGTTGAATTAAGTAATACAGTGTTTAATATTTTGTTACATTTAAGATTTTATCACAGAAAAAAATTAGGTGTAGTTTTGCAGGAATATTTGAAAAATTAAAAAAAGGTCATCTAAATTACCAAATTGATATACTTGTACATGTAGCATAAATACATTTAAAAATGGTTAACATTCAATCATATAGACCATGATATGTACATATGTAACTATGTACTTAAATAAGAAATAAATTTTAATCCAGAATCATTAATTTGTTATGATTTATTGTCATGTCTGAACTGAAGGCTTAATAACCTTAGTCTTGGTCTTTTCAGCAGTGTGCAAAATTTCTGGGAAATGGACCTGCATGGTTGCAAAATATTTGTCAATTTTGTTGCAAGGTATCTTTTGTTCCACAGCTTTTATTTGCATTGAATGAAAAAAAATATGATACTAATAAGTGAAGAATACAGATCTGGAACAGGACAAATGCTTGACCCTGGGAACTCCAGATGGGGGATCAGGTGCCTGGGAGGATGAGACATCCCCTGTCAACCATTCTAACCCTACATCAGAGAAAGGGAGTAATGCATAGTCAAAGTGGTACAATAACAATGACACAATTAAGAAACATGTCAGTCTAAATACAGCCCACCAATAGAGTGACAGATTATATTTGAAATCCAGATACATACACATTATTATGACTCCAATAAGCGAAATGCTGACTTAAAATCAGGAAGATGATGACCTTGTATCATCATCTTATCCCTTACTATTTTAGCAAGAAAAGTTGATGTTAGATAAGCTTTAGTTAACCTCTTTGTTTTATTGTTTAGTTTTAGTTGATCATTAACGACTATTTAAAATGGTCACAATATCCAACTATGGAACGCCGTCACTGCCTTATAGCAGAACACAACATTGTATTGCGTCAACCTTCCACTACATTATGTCAACACTTTATGACATTTACTCACACTACTATTGCATTGTGTCAACCTTCCATTACATTATGTCAACTCTTTATGACATTAACCCACACTACTATTGCATTGTGTCAACCTTCCATTACATTATGTCAACTCTTTATGACATTAACCCACAATACTATTGCATTATGTCAGCCTTCCATTACATTATGTCAACTATTTATGACATTAACCCACACAACCCTTGCATCGTGTCAACTTTCCTTTACATTATGTCAACTCTATATGACATTTACACATACTACAATTATATTTTGTCAACTTCCAATTCGTTATATTTACTGTTTATGACATGTAATTAAACAACAATTACATTGTGTCAACTTTTCATTACATTACGTCAATTCTTTATGATATTATGTGAAAAGCTCATGTCATACTGTGCGCACTCTTCTACATTATGTCGATTCACTATTACGTTATGCGAACACGTGTATCCTCGGCCTTTATATGAGCATAACGTATTTTCCGCGTTCCGAAAAGAACTAAAATTGGCGGGAGAGAAAACTGTCGTAGAAGAAATTCTCAGCGAATTTGGAATGGCATCTTTAATAAAAACTTTAAGCGACAAATGATTGACAACCTTGAAACGTGCAAAGCCTTAACACTACGACTGTGCATTAAAGTCACGTCGAAATTCAATGGCGTTTACTTTAATCTGAAAACAAATAGTCGTACAGAAATTTTTTTCCTTTCTTCTTATTTTTTATTTATTTTTTTTTTTTAATTTTTGTTTTGTTTTGATAAAAGTCTTAAACTTCTGATCTTACTAAGAACATTGTCATAAGATTTTTATCAGTCTTTAACTTTCCTTATTTTAAAAAGTGTAAGCACATCGTATAACACACGTGCAGTGGTGGGTTGGGTAGGGGGAGGGGGGGGGGGGCAGAAATCCCGCCCTACCATCTTAAGTGACCAAAATATACATAAAATTAATAAATTTATTGGTTATACTTTGTAGCACATTGCATAAATTTCACATTAAGTTTAGCTGAATTAAGTTGAAAACTTTTTTTTTATAAAACTATTATATAAAGCCTGAGAGCTTCTCTGCTTTCCTCCTTGGTCTCCAAACATTGGCATCGGAAGCAAATTGAAAGTGTTGGGGGGGGGGGGGGGGGGCTAAGTGTAAAATTTTTTTTTCTTTATATACCTTCATAAAAAACCTGAAAAGCAAAAAGAAGAGGGGGGGGGGGGGGGTTAGGTTCGAACTTCACTAGCAATTTTTTTTTTCCAAACAACACCACTTTCTACATTATTTTTAACCTAAACTACAGCGTGTCTGTGGAAAGTGGGGGTAGGGGGGTTAACCTACGCAGCGATGTTCAATGTCTATTCTAAGTCTATCTGAGGCAAAAAAGTGGGGGTGGGGGCTAACCCCCCCCCCCCCGGTTCCGACGCCTATGCCAACCATATACCGTCCCCCTTCCTTGTTCAAGATTCCCATATCCGCCATTGATATGTGCCCATGCATGCTTACTAAGGCATATTTAATTGATTTAGATGAAGATCTGGTAGATTTTTGTAATAGAATTCTGGCCCTGGAATGATTTTAAAAAATTACTAACTCCAGTGACGTACCATGGTTGAAAAAAATTCTAATTCCAGTGACAAAGCATCTTTTTTGAAAGGGGAAGTCAGCCAGAAAAAAAGGTATTAATTTGCCCGAAAAAAACTTGACAAGCCCAAAAAAATTGTCCAAGCCCGAAAATCCTATTTCGGGAAGGGGTGAGGGGTCAAACTTCGATCAGTCCTAATTTTTTTTTTCAGATACTGTATACCACATTGCCCTCATTGGACTATACTTCAACAAAAAGTGGGGGTAGGGCTGTACTTTCAATGAACATTACTTTTTCTCTAGTAAAGTTATGTCTGGGAAAAGAGGGGGGGGGGGGCTGTTGTACTTCCTAATCAATCAGGACCCCCCCCTCTTAACAATCTGTAAAACATTCATTATATACTAGATATACAGCTTTGAGATAATGTAAATGTATTTTTACATCAGGTAATGCACTTTTGGAATCAACATGATAAAGATTTAACACAATATAAAGCTATTTTTAGATGACATAAGAAAGAGTTGACATAACGTTATAATATATCCACATCACGGTATGGAGTTTTGACATAATGTAATAAAGTGTTGATATAATCTAAAGATATGTTCACATTATGTTATACAATTTTTACACCACGTAATAAAGCACTGACATGAAGGTAAGATGTGTTCACCTCACATCATGATGCTCTCGCCGTAAAATAAAGATAAGTCCATATCACGTAATAATGCTTCAAATGATATAATAGAAATATACACTCTCAAAAAGGAATGGATTTTTGACTTCATGTAATGATAAGTTTAATTATAAAACACAATTTACTTGACGTAATGCAATTTCGACTTCACATATTAAAGAAATGAAATGATGTAAAGAAACATTCATTTCACGTAATAAAGTTTTAACTCAATGTAAACACATTATCACTTCACATAATTAATTTTTTACTTCAAGTTATGAAGTGCTGACATAATGAAAGGATGTATTTACTTTATGTAATGCAGCATTGGCATGATGTTAAGATATTTTTCATCATCTCATAAAAAATTGACATAACGTAAAGATACGTTCACATCACGTTATGATAAATTGACATAATAAATGCATAGTTGTATGCTATAAGGCAGTGATGGCGTTCCATATCCAACGATGAGGTAGATAGACTTTACGGTGTTTTAAATTTTCACCTCGGAGAAATATCAAGTAAGCATGAAATATGAATATAATGAACAATAACTTAATTTTAGTTGTAACTCGTCATTTGATTGGCTAAACTGTTTTATCCATTTTGTATAACAAAACTTGCCTACGTCACAATAAGTTACTTCAAAAACGTATTACTCCACTTGACGTTAACTTTTAAATTATGCTATATTTGAAGCCTTTTCGGAAGGAAAAAATGGAAAAATTGTCTCAATGTTGTCTACATTGAAATTAAATTATAAGGAATGAAGCTTATTTCAATTTATGTTTTACGATATACCGCTTCGCGGTTTATAAAGCGTAAACTGCCCCAAGTTATGTTATATCATACAATATAAGTTGAAATGAGCTTCATTCCTAAAGTAATCAAGCTTAATAGTCCACAGAAACAATACAGATATGGAGCAGGATAAAACATGGGCTTCTTAAAATGTCAAAGTTGGGATCAGTTGCAATGGAGAAGTGAGAGTCCTTTGTCGACTGGTCACACCCAATCGCGTGCTCCTTGTCATGATTGGGCAAACCATAAAGAAACTGTAGATAATTTGGTGTAGAAATAGTGGCCTAACAATTGGTACAAAAAAAAATCAGTGAACAATATTCAACATTTAGATAGACTGTATTTAGTGACATGGTCATTGTATCAACCATAGGACTTGCAAAATTATTACTTTAAAAGAATTTGTTAATATTATGTATTTATTATCGAGGTAAAGTATTGACAAACAGTTGATGAAACAAGAATATCAGTAGTCTCGTTTACAGTCATCATTTTGTAAGTTCTATGATCGATACAATGACCTTGTCTTGACCAAATACATTTATCATGGAGTCAAATGCTGATTGACGTTTTTCATACTTATTGTTAATCAATTATACATGTATATACACTGAATTTACGACGGATTTTTCTGTTTTTCCCGATCATGACAAGGAGCACACGGCGGGTGTGACCGGTCGGCAGGTAAAGCTGACTCCTCCGGCCTGATCCCACCTCTGATGCTTTGGAGGTCCGTATTTGCTCTGCTCCTATTTTGTATTGTTTTATGGACTTTTGATCTTGAATAGCTGTTTGTTTTCTCCACATATTTCATTCATTAACTACGGAAGCGTATTAGTGCCACTTGCACACTTTACTTTTTTTTAATTTCGACACTTTAATCTGTAAATTTTACACTTTAAAGTGTAAATTTTACACTTTAATCTGTAAATTTTACACTTTAAGCTGTAAATTTTACACTTTAAAGTGTGATTTTTACACTTTAATCTGTAAATTTTACATTTTAATCTGTAAAATTTACACTTTAATCTGTAAAATTTACACTTTAAAGTGTAAATTTTACACTTTAATCTGTAAAATTTACACTTTAATCTGTAAAACTTACACTTTAATCTGTAAATTTTACACTTTAATCTGTAAATTTTACACTTTAATCTGTAAATTTTACATGTTAATCTTTAAATTTTACAGATTAAAGTGTAAATTTTACACTTTAATCTGTAAATTTTACACATTAAAGTGTAAATTTTACATATTAATCTGTAAAATTTACACTTTAATCTGTAAATTTTACACTTTAATCTGTAAATTTTGCACTTTAATCTGTAAAATTTACACTTTATTTGTTTATTCACATAGTCAATTTAGCATCTTCACACATCCTCAGTAACACATTTCTAAGCCAACAGACCGTGTCTCGTGCATGATAAAATTTAATTCTGATGTTTTATATTAAAGTAAAACTTTTCTTTGAATATAAAGTGAAGAGCATATCAGACATATATGCACATATTCCCGATCACAGGTGCTTGAGGACCCCTCCCCCCAATATAGATTCCAGGGCCTGTTAGACTTTTTTCACATAAATAATATATGGATGACACAATTGTGATATAATCTATAAATCTTATCAATTCAGAAAATTTGCTTAAACTAACATTTTATTGGCTTACAAATGTGTTACTGAGGATGTGTGAAGATGCTAAATTGACTATGTGAATAAACAATAAAGTGTAAATTTTACAGATTAAAGTGTAAAATTTACAGATTAAAGTGTAAAATTTACAGATTAAAGTGTAAAATTTACAGGTTAAAGTGTAAAATTTACAGATTAAAGTGTAAATTTTACAGATTAAAGTGTAAAATTTACAGATTAAAATGTAAAATTTACACTTTAAAGTGTAAAATTTACAGATTAAAGTGTAAAATTTACACATTAAAGTGTAAAATTTACAGATTAAAGTGTAAAATTTACAGATTAATGTGTAAAATTTACACTTTAAAGTGTAAATTTTACAGATTAATGTGTAAAATTTACAGATTAAAGTGTAAAATTTACAGATTAAAGTGTAAAATTCACACTTTAATCTGTAAAATTTACAGATTAAAGTGTAAAATTTACACATTAAAGTGTAAAATTTACACATTAAAGTGTAAAATTTACACATTAAAGTGTAAATTTTACAGATTAATGTCTAAAATTTACAGATTAAAGTGTAAATTTTACAGATTAAAGTGTAAATTTTACAGATTAATGTGTAAAATTTACAGATTAAAGTGTAAATTTTACAGATTAATCTGTAAAATTTACAGATTAAAGTGTAAAATTTACAGATTAAAGTGTAAAATTTACACTTTAAAGTGTAAAATTTACAGATTAAAGTGTAGAAATTAAAAAAAAATAAAGTGTGCAAGTGGCACTAATACGCTTCCGTAATTAACAGTTACTCATGTGAAGAATATATTATATGGTTTATGTCCCTTTAGAGATTCGAGATCTAATACGGTGTGTGTGATCTGTTGACAGAGGCGCTTTCTTCTTCAGGGTACTGATGTTTTAGAGATCCGTGCCTACTCCTCTCCTGAAACTGTATTGTGTCCTTGGAATTTTGATTGAGCTTGATAAGCATTCGTTAACTTCTTATTTCATATATTTAGAGGTAGCAATAGCAAGGAAAATGATACATACTATTATTATATAATTACTTGACTTATGCATGTGATTTATTATGAAGGGATGCTCACTTCTCCATGACACGTGATTCCACCTCCGATGTCTTAGAGGTCCGTGTTTGCTCTGCCCCTGATTTGAATTGTTTAAATGGGCTTTGAGCTTGAATGCTGTCCGTTAATTCATATTTCATTCAAAATGAATGGTCTCCCACGTGAAATGTATCATATGCATTACATTGGAAACGTTAAATCAAAGTAAATTGTGAGCAAATCTTTGAAACTGATGACAAAATTATCTTTTTGAGATCAACCCCGTCTGTAACAGACATCTCTTCTATTTCCGGAAGATTGGCACAGGAAGTTGCGCTGCACATTAACAGTTGGGCGGTCCTTGATCCCCCTTTGAAGCGGCCTTCTGACGCCATATTTACTGAGCGGGTGACCCTGACGATCTGGAAGGTTTGCCAAGGCTTTGTATGCCTGCAGAGAAAAAGAATCTTAATAATTCAGCAAGCCTTTTTAAAATTAAAGTTTGTTGCATGTACGAACTGTAGTCCCTTTATTGCTGAGTTTATTTCAGCGCTAGTAAAAATGCTATATAAATGGATTTGTTGATTATTAGGCATGATCAATGATCAAAATTTGACCCGATCGGAATTGATTGATTTTATGGAGCATCTGGAGATAACAAACAATATGCAAGATCAAAAATCTATAAAACAAAACAAAATATGAGCACATCAAACACGGACCTCCAAAACATCTGAGATGTGATCAGGTGCCATATGGAGGAGTGAACAACCCCTGCCGACCGGTCACACCCGCCGTGTGCTCCTTGTCATGATCGGGAAATAATGGAAAAATCCGTCAACAATTCAGTGTATCAATAATGAACTATAGCAAATAGTATGAAAAACGTCAATTAGCAACTCAGCATTTGACTCAATGATACATTGTTTTTGCTGACAAGGTCATTATATCAACCATAGAACTTACGAAATGATAACTTTAAACGAGACTGCTGATATTTTTGTTTCATCAACTTGTTTGTCATAATTTACCTCGTTTTAGAAATTGTTCATACGTAGAGCATGTTCTTTCATATCGAATCAACTGAGATATGTAAACGCTGAATGCAGGTGATGAAGATATATTGCTGCATAAGTAACGGAAGTTGACGATAGAATAGATAAAGTCATCACATTAATCATAGAGTTAATTATAATACATTGTTTAACTCTGAGTCGGCAATATTTCAACAACATTTTAGCGTTCCAATTTTAAGGAAAAAATCAGAGAAAAAAAGTATGCTTGTGACAAAGCTGATATCTGAAAGATAGATTTTCTATATTTTTTAAACTCCACGTTGATTTAACTCTTTAGAGATTTTGGTTATGCGCCGTACTCACTATGTTATGTACGGTTTTGATTGCTCAATATATTTAAGATTCTCAATTTGTTCTGTTTTGATTGGTCAACATAATATATGCAGTTTTATAGATCCCCAAAATTATTTTTTGACAATTTTATATTTCTTATCTGGAGACTTTGACTAGTAACGTAATCACTGTGTACAGTTTTGGTTGGACATTGTACTCATTACTACATTTTCTAGTTGAATTTCTTCTTTGAAGACATGGATTGGAAACTTATATACTTACTCTGCACAACTTTATGCAATCTTTTTAAATACCTCTCTGGTCACTTTGATTGGACACCTCATCAAGATCCACTGAACCGTTTCATAGCATGGCGGCGTGGTCATTGAACCGTGATAGGTGAAGTAGCTCAGGTCATAAGGAAGGATGTCATTCAGAGAAAAAGCCTGTCTGATATCCATTGTAACCGTGGTATTCATTTCTGTTAATAAAAAATTAAATTAAACCTCTTTTAAAGTCATCATTTCGTAACTTCAATTGTTGATACAATGATCCTGTCAGCATTTACAATCTTTAATTCATTTAGTCAAATATTGACTGACGTTTCTCATACAAATTGTTTCAAGTCATTTTTAAAACACAGAACTATCAATGGATTTTCCCATTATTTCCAGTTCATGACCGGGAGAACATGGCAAATGTCATCGGTCGACAGGGGATGCTCACTCCTCCATAGCACGAGATCCCACAGTCAGCATTTGATTCAATGATGAATTGTATTTGCTGACAAGGTCATAGTATCGACCATAGAATTTACGAAATGATGACTTTAAACGAGATTGTTGATAGTCTTGTTTCACCAACTTGTTTGTCAATAATTTACCTCGTTTTAGAAATTGTTCATACGTAGAGAATGCTCTTGCGTATCGAATCAGCTGAGATATATATACTCCGTATGCAGATGATGAAGGTACATTGCTGCATAGGTAAGGGAAGTTAAAGAAAGAAAAGTCAAAGTCATCACGTTTATCATAGAGCTTGGTTGTTAGATTACCATTAGTGTCTTTTTCGAGTAAAATATCCACGTATGAAACAGACTCTGTGGTATCTTTTATCTGAAGCTCACCAGGATATATTGTTTCGGCATAGGAATGTCGTCGATATATCTAAATGTCGAGTTGAAGGCCACAGCGAGTGTCTTCTTCTTTTCACGCATAAGCTTTTGCATAAATTCTGCTTCATATGAATACAAGAATAGGTCTGCTAGTCATGGAGCGCAATAGGTACCCAGGGGAATTCTAATAGATTTTTGGAAGACCTACACTCCAAAAACCACATAGATTTTGTCAATCAGAAACTCAAGCATCCTTTCGATGTCAACTTCAGAGTACTTGTGTGTGCAATCAGAATGTGTTTTAACAAAATAATTATGCGAATGACTTATGACGAGGTATGTAAATTTACGAGTTCCATATTTATTGAAAAAGCAACTGTCAATGATATCAAAAAGCCTGGACTTTAATTTATCGTGGGGAATGGAGTGTATAAAGTTGAGAAGTCGTAAGGTTTTAAGCTATTGATTTTGGTAAAATCTTGTGATTTCAAATTTTCCAAAAGTTCTCTGGAATTTTTGAGTTCCACATCTGATTCACATCACTTCTGGAATATATCATTGCACAGTATTTTTTAAGTTTTTCCTTCACTACTGTCAATGTTTTAGTGAGGAGTGAAGAAAGAGGCTTGGTTGAACATTTACTGAAACCCGCAATGTATCTTTGATTGTAAGGATTCTTATGAAGTTTTGGAATCTATATATATTTATATGGTAGTTCAAATTCATTTTGGTTCTTCGGGATATTACAAATATTCAAAATTGACATATGATTTTGAAGAATTTTTCCTTAGATATACAATCTATATAATAAGCTTTACAAACAAAGACAATGTTGTTACCTGCTTTGTCAGCAGGTACCAGTACGTACTGATCATATATAATCTATCAAATTCTTTTTTCACTTCTGGATTATTGAATACAGAAGGATAGATAGCTTTCATATTGCCCCTCAATCTTTTAATTCGTGATTTCAACATGGATCTGATACATTTTATCCATTCTTATAAAGTGTCAACGTCTTTTTTTTCCAGATCTGGTCCATCATCTGGCGTATTCCTCAACAGAATCCATAATATTTTTGAAATTACGACGCCAGTTGAAGGACCGGGGTTCCCTACATTTAGGACCTTTTAAAATAAGTGATCTAAAGTCCTCATTACTAACTTTATTTACGTCACCTGTAATAACGTGTCCAGCAGGACTTGAGTTATAGGGCGAAGAAGAACATAAACACGATGGAGGATATCTTTCAGATACTCGATATTTACGCCATGTAAAGTTTTAGTCAAATAAGTCATTTTTGTTGCAATATACCGGTAGTAATGTATAGTATTATTCATATACAAATTTTGCAGATTTTAAAAGTATTTCTAATGGATGAGGATAGTTGTTAATTTGGGAGAAAGCAGTGCTGTCAATTATATATATATCCCGGTGCGGTTGAGAAAAAAAGTCTGACACATCTGTTTCGTATTTAGATATTTCACATTAAAAAGACATTAATGGTAATCTAACAACCAAGCTCTATGCTAAACGTGATGACTTCAACTTTTCTGTCGTCAACTTCGTTACTCATGCAGCAATATATCTTCATCACCTGCATACGGGGT